AAAAAGTACCATAAATGTAGAAAAAAACAAAAAGGTTTCCCTACGTTATGTTATAAAACATTTATTCTTACCCATATTTTTAGTAAAACATAAAAGTCGGGGTCACGTCGGTTAAAAAGACATCAAACATGTCAAGCCTTAAAATTGCGTGCGCCCGCAAAATCGCAAAAAACACCCATAGGCGACGATTAAAACGCTTTTACTGTTCATCAGTTTAGTGTTATCAGTGATTAAAGGAGAACTATGGGGTTAGGGATTTTCCCCATAGTTCTCCTTAGGGTAACGGGAGGACACAAATTAGCGTCCTCCTGTCACCCTAAGCTCAGTATACAGCGAGCTGCAGCTCGCGGTATACTGAAACGCCGCAGCTGAAGTGGATACCGACAATTATGTCAGTATCCGCCTAGCTGAGTCAGTGACAACTGGCTCTGCCTATCTAGAGGCAGAGCCAGCTGTACCTGCCCGTCCCCCATCCGTTCCGCCAGTCAGTGCTGGCGGATCGGGGAGGGGGGAATCCAGGATCGAGAAGTGAGCGAACGCCGGTATGTGTTCGCTCACTTCCCGATCTACTGAGCCGACCTGTGACAGTCTCATTGTCACAGGTCGGCTAGAACTATGAGGTGAGTGAAAAGCACTCACCTCATAGTTCTCCTTTAGGCTGACGTATCATGACGTATAACTATTTTGTACGAGCATGGTTATCCAACAATTCTCAGAGACAAGCACATCGTGCTACTCCGATGTCAACTGAGGTAAGTTACAAAAACCAGCAGAAGGAGTAAGTCAATCGTGGTTTGATCCGTGTTCCCCCTTGCTTCGTAAACCTCTGTTTTTAACCTTAGTGGTGAGACAAGTTTTTTTACATGCTAGTTTGTGAGTGTGCCAGGAAAACTTTTTGCTGTTTTAATGCAGGAGTAGTGCCCCCCAATGATAGCCAGGATGTTGTGTGCTACCAAGGGGAGACTAGAGGCCCAATGTGCATCAGCGCCCTCCTGGCCAAAGCACAAGAAGATGGGTAACAGTGCCACGGCTGCATGGAAAGGCTGTGGGTGAGTGTTGTCACATTACAACAGGAAGCCCAATGTGCAATACTGTGGCTGGCAAGATATTCAGGTCTATGATATATAGTTGTACAGGTACATCTGAAAACATGTATTTGAATTTAGCATTTGGGATGACACACACTTTAATCAGTGAGACAAAAATTACTGTTGGAATTTTTTTTTTTCATTACAACATATAGCATTGCTATAACAGTCATTTTGTAAATGTAAACGAATTCAATGACCTTTCCGTTTTAGTCTGCAGACAACCACCATTATTTAAAACTGTTAAAATGTTCACATTTCCTTGCCATGCAAGGGTGGCAGACTTGCTGCATCTGTTAGTTGGGATTTTCCATAGTCTCTGTACCTTTCCTCCTATAAATGGCTCCCTGCCCTTCCCTGAAGTCTGCACAGAGCTTGAGATCAAATTACAGGCATCTCTGGCAATTGTTTATTTTACAGGGACTTTAAAGCCCCATTTAAGCGTCTTCTATTATCACTGTAAAGCAGTCAGGCTGAATACACAGCCTGACTGCTTTACATTAATACAGTAATTGTGGGCTTCTTTCTAAAGTAGTGTTTGCTGCATCGAGGGTTAAAATACCCTGGGCTAGCTGCATGCTAGAGGGCTGGACCGAGCACAGTGGCTGTGGTCTTACATGCCCCATGACCTGCTCAGGCACTATATTTGGCCGTTTGGCTGAAGGTCAGCTGTAATCCCACCAGGATAGGCAGAATACACGATGGGTATAATTTGCATGTCGGCCTGTATTAATGAGCCTTCATTTTCCACAATGAATGGCAAATCCTCTATTGCTACATCTCCTGTATGAATAATACATTCCACAGTGACAGCTCAGAAGTTGGAAAGAGATCTTCTTCAGTACTACATTATCATCAATTATTATCAGTCGCTGCAAAGAAAAAGAAATGGCAGGCACTGCCCCTTTAAATTACTTTCAAGTTGGGAAGTCTAGAGAGCATCAGAAAAAAAACCCCCTTCCCTTCACAATCACAATGTTCGGGCTTACTGAGCACTGCCTTAGCATACCTTTAGAGGCGCTCGCCATCACCCCAAATCCTCATATTATAGGCCTGCTTCCAACACATTCCTTGATGGAAAAGCTAACTGGCCAATAGGAGGCAGCTGGATGAGGTTAGAGCCCTTTCAGCATTCCAATGTCCACAAATATTTGTCCTCATGATGTTTGTGAAGGCACCACTAGGTACCTGCAATGTACTGCTGACGCCATTTTGGAAATATCATGTTAAAGTCAGTTTAATTTTAAAGTGACCCTGTCACAGCGTCAAAACTGAAAGATGCAATGCCTGTATAAGAGGCAATAACTTTCCGTTCTGGTATCGCTCTGCTATGCTGCACCACGGCTGCTGCAAGTATTCCACATGCCGAGGAGCAGCAAAGCGGCATATTCACACACGGGCCGCCAGAAAGGCAAGGACTATATAGCTAGTTCTGTGAGGACGTCTATAGTTCCCGGTGAACTGACAAGCTACACTTGGGATAGGCAACCTTGGCACTACAGCTGTTATTGAACAAGTTTTTGAGGCATTGCAAGACTATGACAGCCACAGGCTAGACTCCCAGAGACATGATGGGATTTGTATTTTGAGATGATGACAGGTACATTTAGCAATGATGACATTAAACAACAGAAGCTAACAGGAATATTTCTTATCTTGATTACTCGTGCTTTCACAGGCTCTTGAAGTAGCCACTGAGCAGAAATGTAAATTGTGCTCACTGCCAAGACAGACCTGTATCTATATGGAATGTGGAGTCTGCCTGAGCATTCCACAGACAACCTCCGATTGCCGTGCACGGGTAAGACGGCCATTTCCTTGGCAACAAGCTTAACATTTCTCATCGGACACAACAGATAGTTCACAAACCTGTACAGTACTAACAGACAGATAATAAATACTCATTCACTTTGATGATTGCACCCTCCTTCCAAACTCTGATCCATAAAAAGGTTACACTGTAAAGGGCCAAACAACATTTATTACATTATTAAACATTTCACTAGAATGTAAAAAAGTGACCCCTGCAAAGAAGACGATTCCATTCCCGCCGCCATAAAGAGATACCGGTGCCTGGGAATCTTCAGAATACTATTCTGGGCATGTCAGATATCTGGACCCCCCTATGTGATCGGTAGTTTGTTTCATCGCCCCCTACAACATGACAGTGCAGTGCCATATACATCTATCTAATGGAGTGACCCCAGAACACAGCGGGGGACCATATATCAGCCACATCTGGAAGTTTGGGATTCTAAAGACTCTTCAGGTACCAGCATTTCTTCAATACAATGAAGATCGGCGGTGCGGATGGTGGCAGAAGTATTCAAACTGAACTCCAGGGAAACAAATATATACAAAGTGAAAATACATATTCGAGAGATGTAAAGCTCTGCCACACATCACAGTCCTGCCTAGCAGGCAAGAGACCTGATTCTTCCCTGCTGCAATTAGGTAACACTTTTAGGTCTTGTCCCTCACCCATCCCGTAAATGATTAGAGATGCAGTAGACTGATAAGCTATATTTTCTCTGTCACTCTGCTCTCCCCTCCCATCAGCATATCCCTTGTTAGCACAAGGAGCACCTACTGTTCTTGTGCTGCAGTGCTCCTCTGCTGCACAGACTGCAAGAGGCTGATAGCAGGACAAACTCAGGTTTTTACACTGCTTACATTTATAAAAATAATTGTGTGCTGCATTCATTTGTGTCTTTTGTATCAGCCTGAAGCTCAGGTTTAACCATCTGTTTTTTTCCCCCAGACAGGCCCTTTTTTTACATTTTTATTCTAACATTACAGTCACTTTATTATCTGACTGGATTGCATCTTCAGGAAGAGGTCACAATACAGTGTATTTGAAGAAGAACTTCAGGCAAATTCTCTTATGGCTAGTTCACAGCAACCCAAGTGCGTTCCGGCCCGATACGGTGCCAGAACGCACTGGATCGCATCACGGTCGGCATTGAAATCATTGGCACCGCAGCCATGCCCTCTGGCCGCAGTGCGATCGGACGCACAGAAAAGCGTGGCACATCAATGGCTACCTTCCGGTCCGGTGCGGTCAGAAACGCAGGCCTTGATGTGCCACACGTTCCAGTGCAGCCAATCGCACTGCGGCCTGAGGGCGTGGCTGTGGTGCCATTGACTGCAATGCTCCGCCACGCCCCCTCCCGCCCCAAAACAAAGTGAGCCGGCCAGGATGCGATCCAGTGTGTTTCGTCACCGAATTGGGCCGGAACGCACTGGAGCTGGTGTGAATTAGGACTTCCCTCACACTGCAAGGGTTAAGTGCTTGTTTTTCTCTAGGTTCAAAAATAACACAGTTAGACCAACCCGAAGCTCTGAGCCGTCCGGCTGTTTTATATCGCTCCCTCCAGCCTGTCTACTAAGCTGCAGTACTGGAATGTTCCTGCCGTGCTCTCGTCTATACACTGTGTATAGAATGTTATGATATACAGGACTTTAGTCCAGTGCAGCAGAGGGGGAGAGAGGCTGGAAGGACCGGTCTAAGAAGAAGCCAACTCCACAGTTCAGGTGAGTATAACTTTTTTTTTTTAAACTAGACAAAAACGAGCAGTTAAACTTTGCAGTGCGGGGGTAGCCCTACTGCAAGGGTTAATAAAAAATGTTTCCCGGAGTTCTCCTTTAAAATGAAGGCGATATAGGGCTGCGTAAATTGTCAGCGCCATATAAATACCTGTAATAAATAAATAAAGATAGCAGGGAACATTAAGTTCCAGCACACAGCAGACTTCCTGTGCCATAGAGGGAAACTAGCGACTACCTTTACCTTTTGAGTAATAGGCAGCACAGCAAAGCTACACAGTGAAAAGCCCGGTATCAGTCGCCCCTTCACATTTCCTTTTTTGTCTGTTCATAAATAAATGACATATTAAAAAACGAGGTACTCACCCTTACGTCTCCATTGACCGCCCGGGGCGTGTGGCTGAATGCTTGAGCCGGATCTTTGTGGTAAACTTTGAGGAAAGATCTGTCTTGAATGTTCCTGCAAGCAAAACCATGGATATGTGTAACAGCTGCACACGCAAATCTCCTTTTTTTTTTACATTTTCACCATATCATCATAACGTCACTTTTTATGTTTGTTCAGGCCAAGGACAACGAGGACGAAGTGTCTAACACAGCTGATCAGAGCAAAGTAAAGAAAACCCTGAAATTTTTACAGCCCTCTGTCCCCTCCGGAGAACTTCCAGCCTGTCCAAACAGCTCCACACCCAGCGGAATCAGGTGGCGCTGGACTATGCAGGCTGTAATTTGAATCAGGAGGAAGGGAAGCCTAAGCGAAAGCATTTAACCATAAACGCGCTCGGCTTTGGTTAATATTTAAATGCCTCCCTGGCAGAAAAAGAAGGAAAGCAAACACAGGAGGCACCTCGCCGCCGATCCGGGCAACGCACGGCGGCCGCAGCACAAGCACGCCTTTGTTCGCAAGCTGCGTACTTACTTTAAATAATATAAATTAGATCAGCAGTGGTGGCTGACCTGCTGAAAGCAAACTTACGCTGAGCTTTGTCTGCTGTCTTTAGCTCCTTCTTGCATTACAGCTCCCAGACATCCTACAGACGACTGCAATAACAAAATAGAAAAAAAAAAGGCTAATGTCAACTCCTGCGGAAAAAAAGCCAACCGGGCGGCCTTTCCGAGCAAAATTTAATCAGCTCCGAAGAGGAACAAAGAGATGAGGAAAGAAGACAAGGTCTGCTTCAGTCGCCTCCAGGAAAGGCATTCCTTCGAAGATTCGAGCCAGTGAATTAGGACGCCTTCTAAATGAGGAGGGAATTCCTTTGCTCCAGGTGCAGGAGCGGAGTTTTTAGTGGGCTGAGCTTCACTGAAGGGATTGTGTTCAAGGAGGCAAGAAAAAAAATAATAATTCTGGGTTGGTCTTGTTTTGGTTTTTCTGAAAGTAGAGTTTCCAGATTTCAAATGGAAAAAAATGCCGCCCCTCCTAGTTTTATCAGTTGGAAGTAGCAAACCTGTACTGAGAGAAAAACCTAAGCCGTCACCGCTGACCTCTCTGTCTGAAAATGCTAGCTGCCTAGAAGTCATATTAATCCGGTGGCTTCAAAGCTTTCCGAGTCAATGCTGATCAGAAGTTTTGACTACCTTGTTGAATGTCTGTTCCAGGTAGGTAACTCAGAAAAAAACTGAAGTCAGGTGACTAGTATAGAGGAATGTCAGGCAAGGTCAGTAATGGCAGCCTACATATTTTACTCAGTATTGATTTAGTTTAAAGAGAAGACCAAATGTTGTCGACTTCCTTAAAACTAACTCCAGTTAGCAGTAAAATATTAGCAGCTATATCCCCCCCCCCTCCCCCGGAATATATCAAGGTTTAAAATCAATAGTTACCGAGATCCGAGGAGCGCTGCTTCTCTGTTTGTTGACATCCAACACTGCAAGTCTCTCTCTCCTGACTGCATCCACCTCCAGACTGTCAGATGGCCCCATAGACATCTATGGGGCTGTAATTGCAGGTGCAGCCAGCAGAGGGAGCATTGTGGTGATGGAGTTAAACAATTGCGAAACTGTATCTGTTGGATCTTGGTAGGTACAACTCTGTGGAGGGGGAGAGTGGGATTGTTTAGGTCTGAGATGAAGAGCAAAAAGGATGAGTTCACTTTGTTTTAAAGTGCACGTATCCTTTAAATGCTTTTGTAGTCTAGAGGAGGTTTAAAGTATTCCTCGCTTTCCGGCAGCCGGCGTTCACCTCTACACCCCGTATGTGGGCAGGCCCTGGACATCCTTATTAACAATGCAGGACCTCTATAGAGGCCCTAAATGCATGAACCATGAAGAGGAAAGGCTTAGGGGGATTGGTTGTACAACAGGGGAGAAAGGCTGCGGGTTCAAGGAATAAGTAACTATTCCTCAGCTGTAAACCTCCCCTAAACTAATCGAGCAATTAAACCTTGATACCCTTGGGGAAGGCACATGCTACTAATTTTTTAACTTCAGGCTGGAGTTTAGTTTAAATGCCCCCCTCTCTAGCAAAACGTGACCTCTATGTCACTTTCCTGCCTCTTGGTTGCCTCCTTCTGATTGGACAAGAATGGAACATCTCACTGATGAGATTATCCATTTTGCTCGCCCCTTCTGTAAGATAGCTCTGTAGGGGTTAAACTGGCAGCATTGTAGATTGCAATAGAGCTCTAAAGGGTTCAAAGTACAGGGCCAGCCTTTCCCAGTCTGAATCCTGCTCTGCAAGACTACGTGGTTTTTATTTACTCTGTAGTTTAGCTGCCATGCAAGACAGTCCTACTTGCAGTGTAGGTTCGCCTTACTGGTGGCCCCACTGGCATATCTTCCCTTTGCTCCCCTGTCGCTCCATTTGTCCACCAGGAACAAAACAACATACCCAGTACTTCCAGGTATGCAAAGAGCATTTGACTCACTCCCTTTCCATATGTCAGCACTGGTACCTGGTGATCGCCCATTCGGGCACCCATTGCTGTCTAATGGAGGCAGGGAGAGAGGTCTAAGCCCTTTGTAAGCTCCATGTCATGATGAAGGGCTAGGCCACCCTTCCTTCCAACACAGATTGGTTGTCAGGGGGGCAAAGAGAGGTAGGTATCTGCAGCTGGTGGGTCTGGCATTAAACTGAATGTGTGGTTGCATTGGCAACGCACAGGTTCCCTTTAGGGACCATTATGGAAATTTATTTTTTTTATTTATAAATTCCCATTGACAATGCCTACCCATCAGTTAGCTCTAGACTTCTTTTTTTACCTAATCCAAGTTCCCTCATGGTATTCAAACTTTTGTGTTCATATCTGCGAGCAGGCTACAAAGTGTGCTGAACATCACAATGTACAATTTGACCTTCAATCCTGGATTTTCCCAGTGGGGATTTTCGAGATGAATTGAAATAAAGCAGATTTGGCTGCACCAGACCTTCAAATACAGAAATAAATTATTTTCAGCACCAACCAGTGGAAACTTGCAGAGGAGATTAGAGCGGCTCATTAAATATTACATGGTGTTGAGGTCAGGCAAGAGGCGTTTTACTGAAAAAATACGAGGTTTTAATAAAGCTTCCGCCCAATGCTGCAGGAGACAGTCTGGTGATCATACAGAAACACCCTTGTACCAAGATGTCCCACTTACATTTACTTTTACACAAGGTTACAAAACGAATTAAAGGGGAACGCTGACCTAACAAGTAAATAAACAGTTAAAACATTTGCATTTATTAAGATGTGCACGTAGGGGCATGTTTATATTATAGAGGTCAAATCATATGCTTCCACTGTCCACAGTAGTTCTGATATCTTTTGATACAGGTATAATAGGTGAATGATGGTGTGCTTGAATAAGGATTAATAAGGATTTAAAATAAAATGCTTACTTGCACTACACTGAATAGACAGAGAATGTGTGCAATGACAGCAGAAAAGAAGCCAGCAGATTGCCTAAATGCAATCAGTGCTTAAAGTACACTTCAATTCAAAAAGTGAAGATTTGGAATATAAAAGGGAACATTGGATATGTTAATTGTGCTAATGAAGTAGCCTGAAAAAATGTCTCTTTTCTCTTGAATTTCTTCTTAAAAATAGCAGTGCACTTCCTGGTATGTGAGTATCAGCAATGTGAGATCTAAGGCACTGCTGCTTCTGCCTACTCTTAGAGAACTGGAGAATGATTTGGTGATGTCACTAATGTCCTGGAGTATCTGACATGAGGAATCAAAGCCCTGCCTCTACCAGGATGGCTGGCTCCAGATAGTAATGGAGAAAGATCAGCTGCATATAGGCGTTTAAAAAATAAATAAATAATAAAAAGGTGGGGAAAAAGCCATTTTCGGTTTTGGCCTGACAAATCCTGCTGCGGTAGGTGCGCTGCACTGCCATTCAATTTAATGGGACCCCAAACGCGCCTCCCACCCGCACTGGAATGCACGGTACCGCAATGCTGTGTGTTCCTGTGCAGTGCCATTGCAAAAAAATTGTGCCTGCAGTTTTATTCTGAAGTAAACTTTATGTTTATAACACTTTATTTGTGTATTTCATTTTAAATTAAGGATGGTGTTTATTTAATCTTTTTATTCGATTAATCGAAAAAATTATTGGCCAACTAATTGATTGTGAATATAATCATTAGTTGCAGCCCTAAATATCGCTCACCCAACCCATCCGCAAAGATAAAATAAAAGTAGGAATATGCCAGTTAGGCCTTATATCCCTGATAAAAGCTGCTCGCCAATTTCATACTATGGCATTGTCTGCAGTATCTTAAAGCTGAGCTCCAGCCATACCTTCAGTCTTGCTCAGTTGTACAGGCTCCCCTCCTGTATTGATATTGCTTACTGTGATTTCTCTGCACACAGTGAGTTAAAAGGGTGCTAAAGTAGCCAATCTGCCAACACTATTGTATGTCATATAGCAGGGCTCCAAATTTCAGGTCCTGAGCTACTAGCCAGGCCTTCGAAGTTACTCGCCACCAGTTGCCCTTCATAACACAAACACACACAGGGCACAACGCGCACACAGCACAACACACATACAGCCACCGCACAACGCACAGAGCATTACACATACACATTTCATCTGAAAAAAATGTTTTGGTATTCGCACATGTCTAATAATATGCGTGTGAGGGGGGCGGGGGGCAGTTTTTACTTTTTTAAAATAATTTTTTATTATTTTTATTGTATTATTTATTTATTTACAGTTGGGGGGGACTCGCCCCCACGCAATTTTCACTCGCAATTTGCGAGGGGGCGAGTGGAAATTTTGAGCCCTGTCATATAGAATGCCTTAAGCAGTATATTGCAGCTTGATGAATTAGGACCGTGCTTCAAACCTTATAGCAGAAAGGGAGATACAATTCTGCTATGAAACCCAATTAGCAGCAGAGTTCTGAATGGAATGTCTCACTCCATGGCAGTTTTATCAGTTTTGAGCAGAAAGACTCTTTAAAGAGCAAGTCCTCTAAAAAGTGACATTTGCATTTTGCATATTTTTTGGCACATCCATTCAAATGCTGACT